GATTTTGATGAAACTTGGTGTGCGTGTACATGGGTTTACGGGGTTTATTTGTGACATAGTGTCATCCATGTTCACGAAGGTCTTCGGTGTCTGGGAGCTTGGAGAAAATTAAAATTCGGAAAAAAATGATGATGCAAAGTACTGAGGAAAATGGGACCGGGCTAGAATTGTGGCATTTTTCGCCAGCTTTCCAACGAGACCAAGCACGACCCTCTAGCTCTTACCGTTTTCGAGAAAATCGCATTTTAAGATTTTCGAACTTTGGCCGTTTTCTCGAAACTGGCCGCGTCGATTTCTGGGAGACTCGTGAAAAAGTCTTCTACTAACCGAGAGCTATCACCCTATCTAGTCAGTTTTCCAAAACAGATCGTAGCCGGGATCGCCACGTTATTCGGCTGTACCCTTTGAGATCCGCACCAAACCGGATCCAGAAAAAAAACGTATACATGTGTACAACTTATGTACAGTTCTCTGCGGATTCGCTGCTGATCTCCATATGTTCATGATATTTATGCGGAGCCTACCCTGAAGCATTTCATACATTTTCCGCTTTTGGAACTCTTCAAGAAATGTTTCCAAACCCAGCTCTTCTGATCCGTCGCTACCTTGAAGTCCTCCATGATGAGGAATGCTCCGTCTAAACAAAAGGAGAGCAACAAAAATGGATGTACGGGCTCGTCCCGGCAGGAGGGTTGCAGTTTATTCTCGATAATTTTAGGCTCTACAAACTTGTTCGCGGGGAGCAGTCCAGATCACGAACTGCGGAATAAGAATGCTTGCGCTTGAGGTATGAACAGTTGTCTCTCAGCTGCTATCGACCGGATCCCGGTCATAAGTCGCAGCCTAAGTCCGACGTGCAGAGCCGTCATGTCGGCGGGAAATGAGTGAGGGAACAAGCCCTCAGTTTTGAGACGAGAGGTTCCGAACCGAAATGGGAAATTCATGACTCGCGTTACCTGCTTCCTCCATCGGAGAAACGCGATTAATGGTCGTTTTCCTCCCGACTACTACGTATGTACGATAGTTTTTCCCTACATTCGTGGAACAAACTCGTGCGGATCCGGCTCCGTAAAAATACCCGCAGATCTTGCGGATCAAGATCCGCGGATCCGATCCGCTGGAAGGTCTAGTAGACAGTATTACAGTCAACAGTCTCGAAAAGAGTATGTACAACTTGAGATTACGTTTGAAGGATGTATAGTTGTGATTGCGTCTGATCTCGTAGGGCAGGGTTTCCCAAGTAGAGGCCATCTGGTAGAGCGCGGAGGCTCGCGAGGCCCCGTGGTGCACTGCGGGTGTTTTAGCGATGAGATATCGGACGGGCGAGCCGAGTCGACCTTTTCGAGCCGGAGGCTTGTCGGGAAATTACGGGAGCGGTGGATAGATTGAAATGCAGGGAATTTAGAGATTCGTAGGGATAGTTTCAAGATGAAAGCGATAGGGATGGCGAGGGGTGCAATAGAATTCCGGATGACTTTTGATGGAACTGAGGATTGTGCTTTCGCATATGAGGCCTTGAGTTTCATCGCGAGCCCAGGAAGTGATATGGGATCTATGTACCGGGGGTCTACGGCAAAACGGCGCGACCAAAACGGCGCGGCCAAAACGGCGCGACTAAAAGGGCGCGACTAAAAGGGCGCGACCAAAACGAATATGAATAAGAGAATATGTGAATGTGCATACCTCCACCAGTCTGACATCGGACACCTCAGTCTGGAAGTGTGTGGAGTCGTCACATTTCTTTGCTCCGATGTACCCACTTCGGAAGCCGGTCGATGTGCAGGATTCCTGAATGTCGTCGAAGAAATCTTCCCAGACGAAGGAAATGTTCACCTCCCCGAGGAGTGTTTGCTTCTTCCGGATTAATGTCGTGAAGCTCTCGTCCGACTTACGTTCTCGGTTGTGGTAACCGGCCGGGTTGATTTTCTTGCCTTTAGGAAAGCGAGTGAAGAATTTAGTTTTGGAAATCTTCCAGTTCGCTGTCGTTCCCATTGCTGTAATGAACCATGTCTTGCTATCGTCGTCCAGGGTGCGATAGGTCCACCGAAGTAGTTTTTGTTCCGACCAGTTGTTCATGAACGCGTCCATCCCCAATCGTTCGATCCACTTTCGTGGCTTTTCGGGATCGAACGCCGGAAGGTCGTTCTGTGGAGTGAGGTTCTGTGGTAAAGCTGTAAGGGCTTCCATGGTCAGGGACTGCGGTGGGGGAGTGGGTGCACAAGGCTGAACATCGCCAGTGTCTGGGTACTTTTCCGCTGCCACCGAATCGCAGCGATAATACAAGCCAGATAACGATGGGGCGCAAATGATACTTCTTGATACTTGGCGCATACCGTATTCTCTCTAATAGTCGGACCTGCCCGTCTATTTTCAAGTTCCCGAAACCTGCCCGTATAATAGAGAGTGCCCGTATATTAGAGAGTGCCCCTGTATATTTTCCACTGGAGCCATGAGTCTTTGAGTGGAAGGTATCTTCAAACTTTCACGCGAGATCGATCCCGCTGCGTACTCACACAGCTGACCATTCGAAGGTGTCAACACGCGAGAACTTAACCACAAGACGTGGAACGTCGCTGCATCATGACGAGTGTCCACCGACCGAGAATACTCCTCCATTTTCCAAGTTCCCCGAACCTGCCCTCATAATAGAGAGTGCCCTTATAATGGAGAGTGCCCGTATATTTTTCAAGTTTCCCGACCCTGCCCTTATAATAGAGAGTGCCCGATTATTAGAGAGAATACGGTATGTGGATATCATAGTATGATAAACCTCATTTTCTCTGTAGATAGCATACGGTTCATCGATAGTCGGCTTTTCATGGTACTAGCGGGACCCGTTGCACTCCGCTGCAACGTCTGTTTTTGAGAACCTGAAGCACATGACGGAAACCTGGTTCTTCTGATGTTGTGATGCTCATATGCGGACATTTCCTTGCCCCGTTCCCCCGTTTCCCCGTACTCCCGTTCCCCTGTTCTTCCGTTTCCCCGTTCTCTCGTTTCCCCGTTCTCTCGTTTCCCAATTCTCTGGTTTCCCCGTTCCCCCGTTTGCCCATACTTCTGTTTCCCCGTTTCCCCTACCCCCGTTTCCCCTATCCCCGTTCCTCCTATCCCCGTTTCCCCTATCCCCGTTTCCCCTATCCCCGTTCTCCCGTTTGCCCGTTCTCCCGTTTGCCCGTTCTCCCGTTTGCCCGTTCTCCCGTTTGCCCGTTCTCCCGTTTGCCCGCTTCCCCGCTTCCGCTTTCCCGCTCCCGCTTCCCCGCTTGCCCGCTTTCCCGCTTGCCCGCTTTCTCATTTGCCCGCTTTCCCGTTTGCCCGCTTTCCCGTTTGTCTGCTTCGCCGTTTGCCCGCTTCGCCGTTTGCACGCTTTTCCGTTTTCTCGTTTTCCCGTTTACCGTTTTCCCTTTTTTTTTTCGTTTTCCGTTTTCCGTTTTTCTGCTTTTCCGTTTTCCGTTTCTCCGTTTTCCGTTTTTCCGTTTTTCCGTTTTTCCGTTTTCCGTTTTTCGTTTTCCGTTTTTCGTTTTCCGTTTTTCGTTTTCCGTTTTCCGTTTTCCGTTTTCCGTTTTCCGTTTTCCGTTTTCCCGTTTCCGTTTTCTTCGTTTTCCGTTTTCCCGTTTTCCCGTTTTCCCGTTTTCCGTTTTCCGTTTTCCGTTTTCCGTTTTCCCGGTAGAAGGACTCATCGCATCGGAGAACTGATCCCCCCCCCTAGAACCACCGGTGGAATTCACAGAACACGCTACTAAATCACGACGACCAATCCCGGACATACAGACAGACGGACAAACAAGCAAACAGACAAACGTTTTTATATATATAGATAGATAGTTAGATAGACGGAGAACAAATGTCCGACCGACAGACAGACATAAGTTTTTATATACATAGATAGATAGATGAATGGTGGGAAGCGTGAAGGGGGCAAATGCGGTCAGCCTCCGCTATCAGGTTGACTACTTCTCATCCGACAGCCATCGTAGTCAAGTCTACTTTCTGGCTTTAGAAGCAGCGAGGGTTAGGAGCAGAAGGAGAACAGCCCAGCTGATTGATATGACAAACCCGCTCCATACTTCGAATTTGTCTATGCCCCATCCGCGGTACATTATACAGCGGAGCGATTCGATGGGAATCGTTTGAGGCAGTCCGTAAGCGACTGCTCGAACCACACGTGGCATCGACTGGATCGGCCAAATTACACCTGCAATCGAATCGAAGTTCCTCCATTAGAATTGGTCGAAGCTCCATAAGGAGAGACTCTGAAGTACATACGTCATGGTCGGGTAGCCAAGGAAGACCGTTGGATGAAACAGAGCCTCGTTGCGATACACAGGCAGATCGGGAGGAATATGAGAACACTTCACTACATACCGCTCATGAGAAGATTCGGGAAAAACGTGCCGATCGCCAACATCATCGCGGATTGTTCCTCAGCGCAAATGGTTGAGATCAGAAGTCCGTAGATCATCCCAGTGATGCCTTGCAAGAAGGTCAGGAGGACGACGAGTGTAAATGAGCCCTCGAGGGGAGTTTGGAAACCGATGAAAACGAGTGCGAATAGCAAAACTAATTGCACGCAAACGATGCAGGACTGGGACACCACGAGAGAAAGAATGACCTCGAGAGGCTTGACGCCAGCTGCCCAGCAGCGGTCCGTGGTGCCTTCGCGATTTTCCATGATTATCGATATGGCGGTCAGCGGCACGGCCATGATGTACATGATCGCGAGAATAATCCCGGGCGTCATGAAAGTCCTAGCGGTAGCGTTTGATTTCCTGTCACCGTAGACGGGCTCCTTGATTTGAATCGGAAGTTGAGCCAAATTGACATTCTTGTCCATTTCTCTGAGGAGATCCTCACAGAATGTCTGGAACGAGGACAGCCGATATAAGGAGCTTTATACGTGATACGATGCGAATGGACAATGGTCTTGCGGATGATTTGCATTTCGAGAGAAGCTCCAAGTACGGCGCGCCGATGGGAGTAGCTAATTTTTATATCATATATCGGATGATGCTCACGCGGAAAGATTCCAGTATGGTCTTCTGAAGAATGAAGCCAATCTGCAGATTAGTCATGTCCATGTACACGTCGATCGTGGACGCTTCCAGGGTCTTGTTGTCGGCGTCGATTCCCGAAATAAATCGATACTTCAGCTCCCTCGAATAGTCTTGCCGTATATGTATGGAGCCCCAAGTTTCCCCACGCGCCACACTGGCGAGCGCGAGGTCAAGGTTCGAGTAGAGTCGCTGAACAATAGTGTGCCGAGGAAGGGTCTCCAGGAATGCATTCGAATGAACTGGATTCCGGTCTGAGTTGACAACAGCCACAGGCAGCTCGTATGGGTCGGCCCCGATACAGAGGCAGAACAAGAGTGTAACGAAGGACGGTATAAGGAAAGTGAAGAGGAGGTAGGGCTTACTACCCCTCAATCGGATAATGTTTTTCCTCACGAGAGCAACTATCCGCTCTCGTGATGAAGCTTCCCAGAGTGCCTCGCGGTGTCTCTTGACCGCCTCGAAAGCAGTCTGTGCCTCTCCCGGGGGCGAATCGAGCGCCATTTCTGGGGTAGTCCCGTAAGTTCCGACCTGAATCAATTTGAGGAATTTAGGAGATAAGATAAGAGCTCGAAAATATTCGAGCAAAGTGTCCTTCGAAGAACTGATCCAAAAAGCGTTGGAAGGCGGTGAATAAACAGAGCAAAGAAGAATATACGCTGATGGCGTATGGATCGCTCACTTCTCCTTGGACTTCCATGGATGTAACGGTGTCATCGTCGTTTTTCTCGCCAATCACCTCGAGCATCTCTCGGGGATCTGTGATTGCACGCTCCTCCTTATCCGCGAGGCACAATTGCAGGAATACGTCTTCGAGGGTTTCGCAATGGAAATCCTCCAGGAGTCGCTCAGGAGAATCTTCGGCTAGCATTCGACCGGACCTCATGAGACCAACGACGTCCGCCTGACGGGCTTCTTCGACGTAATGAGTTGTAACGATAACGGTCATCCCTCGATCGCGGGTGAGCGTCACGAGATACTTCCAAATCCTGAAATAGGTACGTCCTCTGAATATTGCTGCAGACATCATCCCAATCGTTTCCCATTCACTATCCTCTCGTCGGTCGTTCCCGGGAGTCATCGTTCTGCGAAGTTTCGTCCGATATATCCTCCGGGGGAAGGGATTCCGCCGTTCAGGGCCGGAGTCGGGAGCACCCACTTATCCGGGAGGAATGCGGAGGCGCATTTGGCGCAATGCGGAGGCGCATTTGTCGCAATGCCGGGATAGAAGCGCGAGGAGGATCGTGTGTCTCCTCGAATGATCGCGGGAAGCATTCAGAGAAAGCTCCATTTTGTGGAAAAATCTACCTATGTTTTACTTCGTCCAGCCTGTGAAAACTCACGCTTGACGGAGCAGCGGGTCCACGCCGACCGTTGGTTCGTCGAGAATCAAGAGTGGGGGCTCATGGATCAGAGCGACTGCAAGTGAAACTCGTCTCTGTTGACCCCCAGAGAGTTTTCCGACCTTCTTCTTGATTTTGGGGAGATCCAGGAAGTCGAGGAGGAACTGGATACGCTCTGCGAGGAAAATAGATCGCGGTCAAACCCTGCATAATCTTCGCCGGATTCTGTGCAAGGATCTCTTTGCTCTCACGGGAGTTCGCTGTCGAACAGGTCAAATG